ATTGATTTTATAGGGCCCTTCCCATTTCGGTTTGAGAGGTCTGGGTTCTAGCCCTGTCACCCTCTTGAGGACCAGGTCGCCGACCTGATATGAACGCGATTTAACTTGAGATAAGCGTATCTTTCGCTTCGCCTCTTGTATGCGGCGTTTCTGAGCTCGGCTTACGACCGATGTTCGTCTATTAGGTCGACGTTCGCTCTCAAGGACTCGGAATTGAAATTTTTCTTCAAAGTGGGTTGCACGGTAAGTTGGGGCGCCAAGCTCGACAGGTATTATCGCCTCGGATCCGTAAGCTAAGGAGAACAGTGTTTCGCTAGTGGACGATCTGACCATGGTGCGGTATGACCAGAGCACGCCCGGGAGTTCTTCCGGCCAGGTTCTCTTTGCGGCTTCAAGTCGGACCTTGAGCCCATGTTTGATTATCTTATTCACGGTTTTGACCTGTCGTTTGATTGAGGGTGGTAAGGTGTCGAGAAGAAGTGCTTGATGTCGTCTTCTTCGCAAAATGCTTCCAGCTTCTTTCCTTCGAATTGTTTTTCATTGTCTGTGATTATGGAGTTCGGCACCCCGAATCGACATATGATGGATTTTCATAGAAAGTCGATAATCTTTTGTTCGGTTACGGTGGCGAGCGGCTCGGCTTCCGCCCATTTTGTGAAGTAGTCGACGGCGACGACGACATATTTCACTCTGCCTTTTCCGGTGGGTAGGGGGCTGATGAGGTCGACACTCCACATGGCGAAAGGCCATAGGCTGAAAATTGACTTCAGAGGTCGAGAGGGTTGAATGATGTTGGGTGCAAAGGTCTGGCATTTGGCGCATTTTTGGGCCATGTCCAAGGTGTCATTCTTCAAGCTCGGCCAATAGTAGTCTTGCCTCAAGACTTTGTGGGCGAGGGCGTATCCCACAAAATGGTTACCGCATACGCCTTCATGAATTTCTTTCAGAATGTATTCGACACTCTTCCCGTCTACACATTTGAGTAGAGGTGTCGAGTACCCTCGCTCCGTAGCAAGCAGACTTGTCATTTGAGGGTCCGGTCGGCCTCTAAACGATCAACTTGGAGTACCTGTTTTTCTTGTATACTTATTTATTATGTATTTTCGGCTCCTTGATTATCGAGTTGTATTTTATATTTTCGTTTATTATTTAATTAATCGGAGTCAAATTGGGTATCAACACTAATATTTCAATGTAATAAGTATTTAATCAATAAATTTTATGATAAATTATCAATTGAATGAAGTTACATCTAACCTAAAATATCATATGATATATAAATACAATTTGAATGAAAAATAAAAATACTAACAAATGTAGAAAAAAGTTTGACCAAATTTAAATGTGTATAATTGTATATATGTTTAATTTGACAAAGTTTATTATATTATGGTTGATCTACATCACACACTACGGAGTGATTTTAAGGTTTTGTCACTTTGTGGTTACGAGCTTAAAATTATACCTCCTATGTGACCATTAATTGGTTGATATTTTATACATATTATTCAGTCGCATATTTTGGAGCATTAAATTTGACCTAAAGACCAAATAAAATATCACTAATTATACATAATAAAACTTTTAGTTCAAATCAATTTATATCTTAAGTGAGAAATAAAATATAATTTACAAAAAAATAGATTTTTAGTGTTTTTAAATTATTTTTTAAAATTATTGAAATCCAAATGAGATGTTGTACGTTATATAATATATATATATATATATATATATATATACATACATATATATATTATAATGGCTCATGAAAAATAAAATAGTATTTGAATGAAAAAAACTAAAATTCAACCAAAACTTGAATTTTAATATATATTTATAACTCATTAAAATAACTATAATTAATTAAATCAAGTAATTAGATCAAGTGAAAAAATGTGTACGAAAATTGTATCATTGGAAAAAAGGGACATAATATGAATAATATTTAAAAAGTGTGCTAACATATTTCAATTTTTTTTCCCGTAACGATAGAGATTTATATAGATCAAAATGCACAAATTTGAAAGGATACAGCCCCTATAGCTGAATAATACAACCAACAGCTGAATAAATTGGGAGGACAGGTCAGAAAACCGCCTATAACCGAAGCTAGGAACACTAGAAACCAAAGACACGACTCACAACACGACAGACACAAAAAACATTAACAAACTATAAAGCTCCCAAAAGGAGAATAGCGAATATCCCAAAGACCCGCTCACACACGAGTTCACAGAGGCCGACGGCCGAAACAAAACACAAATCCTAAGCGTCACAAGCACAAACAACACAAAACAAACTAAATATAAAACACCTAAACTACCAGTAAACAAAGTCCTTCCGCAGCAGAAAGATCGAGTCGAACCAGAAGATGAAAAATCGATTTCAGGGAGAGATCCAAAGGCCCAGGAACAACAACCAAAATTGTCGAACCACCTAGCTGAAGCATAAACCAAGCCCAGAACCAAACCCAAAAAAAAAGATCTGTCCCCAGCACTGCCCCACCCGGCTAACACCACTAGCCGAGTACAGTCGCGCCATCTCCCCCGAACCCAACAAAAGAGAATCGGGGAGAGAAGAGCAGGTCGGCCCCTCCCCCCAGACCACTGCGGTGCGAGAGCCACAAGTTTCCTGAACCTCGCCCTACTCCCCAACCCGCACATCACCCAACCTCGCGGCAGCTCCGGGCCGTGAGACCTCACTTGGAGAAGGGAGGCCCAATCGAATCCTAGCAATCCCCATCGTGATAGGGTTTGGGGATAGGGTTTTTGTATTTTTGCATTCGAATAGAAATAATGACCAAGAATGGTCTTGTTCAACAAGATAAAAAGGCAAAATTGTAAAATATCACATGCAATTGTTCTCGTAAAAAATTTCCATTTAGTTTTACCGTGCATAATTCTCAATCTCCAAACAAAAAGATTTCGAGTAAATATGACCAACTGAGATAATAAAGATTCGTCAACCAAAATTTCTATGCAATCTTTTTCACCATGACTTTTAAATTTTATTATTTTGAAAATTGTATTTTTAACTTTCAATATATTTGACAAAATTTATTATGTATGTAATGTACTTCTTTTAATTGATAAGTGGAAAATAATAATGCAAAAAAAATTTAATAGACAATAAAAATATAAATGAGAGAATATAGTTTAAACTCACATTAAAATATAAATATGTACCATCCGCACGTACGTGCACTTCAATATTTTATTTAA